TAAATAGTTGAAAATCGCATCAAATTTGCATTAATTATTGATATTTGATATTCATGAATGCGTAATTTGCGTATTCATAATTTATGCAAATTAACCTATGCATTTTCAAATATCATAAAAACAATGAAACCTCATGAATTTGAGATGAAGGAAACATTTATTCAATACATTTTCAAGATTCTTCACAAGTCTACGGACAAATATGTAGTGTTTCTGTAAAATGCATAAAATTAGCATTTTGCATAATTAATTATGCTATAACAACAAAAATTTGCATATTAGGAAAAAACTAATTATACCATTATGTTCCTTACGTAAATATCTACACATATGCAAATTTTCGTGTTCATCGGACATTCGACGGCCGAGATCATAGGGGGGGGGGCTCCCAGGTCCCACCCCCCCCCCCCCCCCCCCCCCCCAGTCAGAGAGTGCTCAAAATAGCCCAGTAAAGTAAGGGTTTAGTATGTAGATTAGTTAGGTGAAACAGATGTGTTTCTTTATTATCTTCCTTATACAGATCTGGTGGGGCTTTATGGATTCCAGTAGTTAGTTAGATGTAGACTACCTGCCAGAGCTTAGAATAGTTAGGAAAAACCCTTCCTAGTACAAGCAAGGACTTAGTTAAGGTTCAGTTTTTCACAAGGGTCTTTGTGTTCTTTAATATTCCACTCGTAATCTTTAAGGAAAATGAAATCCAACAGATTTCAACTGACAGCCTTACTAAAAAAAATTGTGAGCCGGGCAAAAATATCTTTAAATTACTCCTATTTGATTACTTAGCAAGGAAAACAGTATCTCCACATTTTGTAGTTTCCTTGCTACCCATTCTCCCATTGGTATTGCCATTTTGATTAAAATAGTGATGTCATAGTAATACAACTTGTGAGATACCCACGGATCTGTATTTAGTTAATACAATGTAGGACACTCACCTGTGAAATACATGACGATAGTTTCCTAATAATAGACTTTTCAGTTTCTTCCAAACATCCCTTATTCGTATATAGCACCTGTAAACCTCCAAGCCTTATCCCACACACTGCCATCCAGTGTTATATAACCAGTTGAATACAATGATTTATTTGATGTTCATACAGATCAAAAAACATGTAAGCACAATTTAGTCCAGTAGACGGTACCATACACCATGTACATGACCTGGACAAGTTGATAAGTACAAGGTTTTGTTGTTGATTTGTGTTCTAGATGGGTATTGAAGTAAATTCAGCTTGGTTGCCAGCTTGGCAACCTTGAGCAACTTTTTTAATAGCCACATTAGCATAATCATCTAATCAGCATATGTGCAATATATAATGTTGCTAATCTCAATCCAGGAAGCCTGAAAACATGGATAATACGACTTTTCAAGGGTTTTCTATGACGAGGAATTCATTTATGACACCAGTTTTTAATTCCAAGTAATGCAATTGTCTTAAACAGCATAATTAGCATAATTATGTACAATGTATGGACTTCATTGTCATTGTTTATCTATAAAGCCTTAAAAATGGTGCAATGCAACATTGTAAATCACTTTTGAAAGACTAATCATTAATTCATGAGAAGATATCCCATGTATAATTATGTAGTATAATTAGCATAATTAGCATAATATTCTAATTAGCATATATGTGCAATATGTAATAATGTTGCTAATCTCAATCTAGGAAGCCTGAAAATATGGATAATAGGACTTTTCAAGGGTTTTCTATGACGAGGAATTCATTTATGACACCAGTTTTTTATTCCAAGTAATTTATTGTCTTTAATAGCATAAATAATATATATGTACAATGTATGGACTTCATTGTCATTGTTTATCTATAAAGCCTAAAAATATGCCAATGCAACATTGCAAATCACTTTTGAATTATACTACATATACATGGAATATCTTCTCATGAATTAATGATTAGTCTTTCAAAAGTGATTTACAAAGTTGCATTGCACCATTTTTAAGGCTTTATAGATAAACAATGACAATGAAGTCCATACATTGTACATAATTATGCTAATTATGCTGTTTAAGACAATTGCATTACTTGGAATCAAAAACTGGTGTCATAAATGAATTCCTCGTCATAGAAAACCCTTGAAAAGTCCTATTATCCATATTTTCAGGCTTCCTGGATTGAGATTAGCAACATTATTACATATTGCACATATTATGCTTATTAGAATATTATGCTAATTAGGCTAATTATACTACATATACATGTAATATCTTCTCATGAATTAATGATTAGTCTTTCAAAAGTGATTTACAATGTTGCATTGCACCATTTTTAAGGCTTTATAGATAAACAATGACAATGAAGTCCATACATTGTACATAATTATGCTAATTATGCTGTTTAAGACAATTGCATTACTTGGAATCAAAAACTGGTGTCATAAATGAATTCCTCGTCATAGAAAACCCTTGAAAAGTCCTATTATCCATATTTTCAGGCTTCCTGGATTGAGATTAGCAACATTATTACATATTGCACATATTATGCTAATTAGATGATTATGCTAATATGGCTATTAAAAAAGTTGCTCAAGGTTGCCAAGCTGGCAACCAAGCTGAATTTACTTCAATACTCATCTACAACACAAATCAACAACAAAACCTTGTACTTATCAACTTTTCCAGGTCTGAAAAACTTCTACAGGACTAATTTGAGATCCAATTAAAATTAAGTCCCGGTTTGATAAGTAAACTAACCCAATGTTTAATATCATTCTAATATCGATCAAAACCATACCCCACACTTTTCGAAGTTGTAGGCATTGCCCTCAAAACGGGCACCTCAAGGGGGCTAGTGGATAGCATTAAAATTTGAAAAAGAGAGAGAAGGCCTGTCTTCATCAGCCCGAGTTGGCCAAATAGCCCGGCTATTTCTGATCCGGGAAATTTGCCAGATCACGAAATAGCGAGCTATTTACACCGGAAATCTTCACTGGTCCATCTTCACTAGCCCGAAGATTCGTGAAGATTTCTCGATCCCGGCATGCATGACGATATCCTACTGTTTCCGACGCTAGTTTTTTTATGCACTTACGCTTCAGGTGCGATCAGCTGTTAGCTAGAAAATCTGCATGTACACACTGCTATACTTGTTTACAATTGCTGCATGCAGACTTTAAATTAATCATAGTAAATTATTCATTGTTTTACTAGTGGAACCCGTGGCCAAAAAAAAAGAAAAAACAAAGATGGTAACCACAATTTTACCTTTAAAAAAAAGAAGGCGGGCCCCTACCCCTGGCAACCCAAAGATATAATTTTACCTTTTTTTTTTTTTTTTGCTCAAGGGGGAGGGGAGGGGGGGGGGGGTGTTGAGTAAAAAAAAAAAGTGCTCGCTGCCCCCCCCCCCCCTCATTGACCAAAAATAAAAAAATTAGTACACATTACCCCCCCCCCCCCCATTTTTTTACCTTTAACCAAAAAAGGTGACGGTCCTCAACCCAGGCAAAAACCAAAAACAGTATCTAAAAAAAATTGTAATCATAATTTAACCTTTGTTTTGTTTCTTTTCCTCAAGGGGGGGGGGGGTTGTTGAGTAAAAAAAAACAAATGCTCACTGACCCACCCCCTCCCTCCCCCTCCCAGTTGAGCCCCCCCCCCCCAAAAAAAAAAAACAAAAACAAAAAAAAAAAAATTAGTGGTCATTACCCCCCCCCCCTCGCTTATTTGTCGGCTCGCTAAATATTTTCTGACGAATTGGGCCCCCACCCTCGCTGCTGGCTGGATCCGCCCCTGTTGACTGCAACAATTAGATTGGAAAGGCAAGAATAACCCCCATATTCAACTAATCCAATCAATAGAATATATAAAATTTGAAATCACATTTGAGAACATATCTTGTGAAATAGTGTTTTATAGATTTACATTAAAATATGCTATTCTCGAGATAAGGTCAGGCTCAGTACATGCAGTAGTTACAACGATCACACTCTCTCGCTTATTCATTGACTTCTAACGTTAACGTTCTATCCAGGCCCATGGTCCAGGCGAGGGAGCTCGAGCTGTGCTGGCTCATGAGCTGACTCAATTATAAATGTACTAAAGTTATTGATCGGAAACCAGATTTGTTACGGAAAGACGGAGGGAAGGACGGACAGCAGTGTTACAATATCCGCTACGACATTGTCGACGAGGGGATAATAAGAAGAAAAGGATTACTACTACTAGTAGTGATAATGATAATGTTTAAATGTACTATCATTAGATTTGTGGCATGTCGCGCCATGTCTGGCTTATCAAGAAAAATGTTCATCATGCAGCTACCCAACACACATCTTCATGTTGGGCACATTTACAGGTAATTAAGGCACTGTTTCAAGAAGTTTCAAATTGGATTTTAAAACAATCCAGGAGAACATGAAATTCATTAAAATGCGTCACACATTACTAAAGTTATCAAATGGAAACCAGATTCGCATATTTAATGAGCTATGACCTTTGACCTACATACTCCAAAATCGAACTTAGGCTGTGCTTTGTTACCATGTGCCTTCATATCAAGTTTGATTAAAATCCTTCAAACATTACTAAAGTAATCGAACGGAAACCAGATTCGCATATTTAATGAGCTGTGACCTTTGACCTACATACTCCGAAATCAAACTTAGGCTGTGTTTTGATACCACGAACCTTCATATCAAATTTCATTAAAATCCGTCAAACAATACTAAAGTTATCGAACGGAAACCAGATTCGCATATTTAATGAGCTGTGACCTTTGACCTACATACTCAGAAATTGAACTTAGGCTATGTTTTGATACCATGTACCTTCATATTAAATTTCATTAAAATCCGTCAAACATTACTAAAGTTATCGATCGTGTATTTTTTTGCATATTTAATGAGCTATGACCTTTGACCTACATACTCCGACATTGAACTTAGCCTGTATTTTGATACTATGTACCTTCATATCAAATTTCATTAAAATCCGTCAAACATTACTGAAGTTATCGATTGGAAACCAAATTTGTTACGAACGGAAGAACGGAAGGAAGGAAACCAAATTTGTTACGAACGGAAGGACGGACAGCAGCGTTTCTATATCCCCTCCGACTTCAGCGAGGGGATAATAAAAGAATTATGCCTAAGGTAATTACCCACTGCAGCAAAGCATAGTAGTCGATGCTAACTTACCCGAAAATGTTTTGAAGAAAGAGAACGCGTAGCTCAATCTGGGCTCGCTATGATACGAAAAAATAAGACGCATGCTGTATACCTGAGAACCCTGTGCTTGCCAACATTTTTTCTTCCGTACAGACTGTTCTGTTTAACAGGCATTTAAACGTTTTGTTTTTCTTCTTCTGTGTCCTTTTTTCGGTGTTATGAAAGATCTTAATTGCATGAAGAACTGTCTAAGATCATCATTTACATTTTTAGAAGTTTAAGTCTAAAGTTCCTTCCCCTGCAGAACCCACTGATTTCTGGGGAAGAAATACGGACGCCTGGTACAAAGCTACATTTGTTCAACTCTCTTTCATGAAGACTGTTCTGTTAAACGAACATTCAAGCTACTCCTTTTTCTTCTTCCCTGTCCTTTCTGTGTTTTGAAAGATCTGAATTGCATAAAGAACTGTCTAAGATCATCATTTACGTTTTTAGAGGTCTAGGTCTTGTGTTCCTCCCACTGTAGAACCCCCTGATTTCTGAGGAAGAAATACGGACGCCCTGTACAACGCTACGTTTGTTCCTTGATCACTGGAAAATCACTGATGCTGGACGGGTGGTATTTGCGAGCATGTGCAGCAACATTGGACCGTCTGTACCCAGCCGAGCAGCTGGCTTTGGCATACTGCGTATCCGGTGAGGCTCGATCGGCTCCAGCACCCTGGCTGCACGTTCCCCCCGGAGCGTTCCAGGTGCTGGCAGGGAAAAAACCGAAGGCGTCCAAAGCCCCAAAATCCTTACACTATTACTCTATAGATTATTATTTATTATAAGCACACGACTGTTTACATAGGTTTCAACGGTTAGTATGCACACTTAAATGCTTTTGTTAACACTGCTGCTGCCTTAGTGAAAAGACCATTGATATATCCTTCTGTCAAAAGAACCAGCATAATTATACGACCGATATGAGACATTTTAAAAAATTAAGGCAAAGTAAAATGTAGATTAGAAAAGGGAAGAAATTGTAATGAGGTGAAATTAAATTAAACAATCACACATATCATACATCACAATTGTGGTTGAACTGCTCACCTTTGATTCTTTTCCTTTCCTTGCAAGTGTTTCAAAAAAACGATCATAGAATCCTATAGACCATAGAGTAACTTTCTTCAAGGATGGCATGGAGCACATCATCTCTGCCACATCAAGTGACATAGTAGGTCCACAATCTCCATGAATATTGACTTCAGCCTGAATAAAATGAAAAAGTGATTACTGATGGGATGCAGAATATAGACATTTACTTGGATGTTAGGCATGCATGTGTAACCTACATGAGCAGTTGCCCTAGATGTGGTGCTAGAACTACCAAGAGTAAGAGAGAAAAGGAAATACATGCATATAAGGGTACAGGCTAAAGAACTATTGTCATGATATTCCATATCACATTTCTATTTTTGCGACAGTAGAATTATCTCATCTTGATTTACCATGTACTATACAGAAAATCCTTAAAACAACATAAAAGGAGGGTATAAGTCTAAAAAACAGGTTTCAATGGAGATTATTTAAGTTCACAGTGACCATCTGGTGCCTCAAAACTTAATCATTTATAGATGTTAGGAGCACAATCACTAAATTTAAAGGGTGGATATGTGCAGAAATCGAGGCTCGCAAAGGAGAAAAGAAGTATCATGTTGATACCCCCTGCTTGCATGAGCATGCACATACATGTATTCAGTCTTACCAAGGGAGAGTGAAGCAGAAGAAAGGATGAACTGTTCTACAGTAATCATGTACATGAACCTGTTACGTTAAGAGTTGCAATATCAATAACACCAATTATGCAAGAATATCAAACAGATTCCTTTGTGCCCTGTTACACTTACAAACCAATATATTTTTTGTAGGGGATGAAAATGTGCAAACTATTGATGAAGTTCCCTTTCCCAAAATGTTATCTCAACTTAAAGGTATAGATGCACTTCGTATATATTGTATGCACGTGCCAGTACATGCATAGCTTCAATGTAATTGCATTGACGTCTCCTCGTCAATGCCTTGTAAATTTGCGCGTTCTGAATTCTTTATCTTATTCCTCTTCCACCCAAATCACGTTTGTTTGCACGCAGTGCTTCTAAACCCTAATTAGGTCCCTTTATCCAAATTCATTTCATATTTTGTATGCATATTTTTTTATCCTACTATCCTAGATGCTACCAACTTCTAAGAAATTACTCTAGATAGTGCAAGAGTTGCTCTTCGTTTTTGACTTACCCGGTACAAATGGCACTTCAAAATGCAATCTTTATACTCTAAATTTTAGTCAAAAATCGACTCTTTCAAGAATCGTTAATTATTTTACAATATTGAGTGCTGAAAAAGAAAAATTACTATAACTTTCAGGGGTGATAGTGAACACTAAAAAAAAATTTCAATTTGAAAGCAGGTCACAATTCAGATTACGCAAGATTTCTGCCCAATTGTAACTACTATTACGTCAATTTTCAGACTGATTTTTGGCCCCCTTCCCAATTTTTCTTTATCTTGAAATTTAGCGAGTATATACTGCGTGGCCAAACGCAGGGCATCTCATAGCCAGATTTTAAACTTTTTCAAACTGGACTTTTTAGATGCCATTTTATATCCTGCATTACAATGTATCGCACTATATGCGTCACATATTGGTAATTTGGTATGCTAGCATGCAAGGCCACGTACGCCAAAGTATATATGGAAAATAACCATGCGTGAGAAATGATGTGTGCCTTGTTGCTTTTACTGTACATAGGATCATCTAATTGCTTGTTTTATCTGCTCAAAGAAATTGAAATGCAGGCATCAATGCATATCGTTATACGATTGCAGTTCTAGTTTCCAAATTATTACTGTTCAAAACTCTTTGATTTGATTTAAATACCAACAGCAATACAGTAATACCTTTCATGCAATGGTATACAAGAAGAGTAACTTCTTGATATATACATAGATATTTGGCACAGACAATAGGACATGTGCTAGTCAGGATGCACCCTTCCATAATTATACTGTTGTACTATAAGAAAAATTACAAAATATGCAAAATTAAGAACTTGCACAAAAAATGGATGAACTAATTTTGGTTATTAACTATGATTAAACTTACCACATATGCTCCAATGAATGCATAACCAGCTACAGTGTGTGCTGTCATGCTTGTGTCTATGGTCAGCTCAATCTTCTCTGATGAAAACCTGTTCTTCACCAAGGCTGCTACAGCTGGGTCCTGACTCTCAAAGGCTACATCAACAATGAAAGATAACTCTCTGTCCGAATGCCTGTATACTCCCTGAAGCATAGAGTTCATTACATGGGTTGCAATACTTTTGTTCTGTGACACAGTGAAGTACAGGAGATACCTAAACTCCTCCATCCTTGGCAGCACAACTTGCTCAATCAGCCTGTTGAATTCATTACGATCTTCATGATGATCTGATTCATATAGTGAAGCAAGATGGACTCCAGCCATATACTCCTGAAACAGTTTGTGAGGGAAGAAGACTGGCAATTGCACATGAGGATTCCTCCCATGTTCATGGATGTCCATGCTAGTGGTAATTCTGTCCTCCTGAGACAAAATCCCTACCCGACAGGCAGTGTCTTTGGATTCTGGGCATATTTTGAAATCATCTTCACTGAAAGTCAAGGTATTTTCTAGCAGACCATTGAGGGCCTGTTTAGCAATCGGTCCAAGGAGCTCATCGATTTGTTTCAAATAGGCAAGAAATGAGGGGCTGCCTACTTTCTTTACCATTTTCTGAGCATAATGTTCTTTTAGAAAGGCAATCATTACTTTGAATATCTGAGAAAAAGTTTTCAGTGATTTCATTTCCTTTAGTCTTTGCTCGCTGAGTTCTTTCCACATAAGACACAGCATGGCTACATATATAGGATAATGGGCCATGTATTCAGATATGACACCATTCTCACTGGTGAACTGGATAAGCTGATTTGCTTTATCATCATTGTTTGGAAAGTATTTGTGAATGTAAACTGGCAAATTCTCTCTGTTGAAACCCTCAACATGAATGAATGTGTAGAGCTTCATTAGATCACCATCTGATCTAACCTCTACTGCTCTCCATGGGCGAGTGGTCACCAAGACTGGGCAAGAGGCAAGTTGTTTTGAACAAAGAATATCTACAAGTGCAATATCACCAGTCTCAGATAAGCTTCCACATGCCTCTGAGGAGGTGACACTTGGCTGTGATGGCTGAAGTTGCATTTGATCAGTAGGCTGTGATTCACAAGATTCTGTCTTCATGATTTTGCCCCTGACTTCGTCTAGCCCATCGAATGCAATGAATACCTTGTCAGGATTTGACCGGATATACTCAGTGATCTGTGAAACCGTTGCTGGATTATTTTTGTCCAGATAAGACTTTGCAATCTTACCAATAGTATGTTGCTTAAATTCACGTAGAGGAACAATCAAGACCCACACAAAGTCACTGAAATACTCCCCTTCCATCCAGTCCCAGGCAATCTTAGCACAAAATGTAGTTTTTCCAGCCCCTGCCTCTCCCTGAACCATGATCCGCTTGGGAAACTCTCCATTGACTTTGAGATCTAGGATATCATTGTAATCTAGCTTTCGCTTCTCCTTCCGATGTTCTTCTTGTAAGAAGAGATTAGTATACATGTCTTTAAACTGCACAGTGGAAGCAGGATCGAGAGGATCAGTTCTGATCTTACAGAGAGTTGACCTGTACTTGAACTTGAAATCATTTGCACACCGCTTAACCAGTTCAGGAGAAAGTTGTTTGGTCTGAAATTCAGCTGAAGGAGGTTTGGTCTGTGATTCTGACAGTCTTGATGGCCCTCCTACAAATACATAAATAATCCATATTCACAAGATTTCTATAGGTAAACATAGTTTGATCTGTACAAGGTACATCTAAAAGGATTGTAAAGGTCTGATGCTAATAGTGTGACCTACGACTAGGTGCATGTACCCAAAGACACAAAGTCGTACATGTTTATCTGAATTTATATGATTTCATTAAGTTTTAAGGGCATTTAAGATCTGATTTATTTACATGTAGCTTTTATCCGGCAAGTAACGATAATCGATAAATTGGACGCTAAGCCACCTGACTAGATAAATTTGAGGCTAAGCCACCTGACTAGTGTCAGGTGGCTTAGCGTCAAATTTATTGATTATCGTTACTTGCCGGATAAGAGCACCACTTTTGGAACAGGGCTTCCTTAGGACCTAACAAATAATACAGTCAAACCTGTCTATAGGGACCGCCCAAGGGAAACACAAAATGTGGCCTTTGTAAACAGGTGGTCTTTGTAGACAGGTGGTCACTAAAGCAGGTTTGACTGTATTGGGCTAGGAGCCTCCAGCAAATATGTCAATTTAAGGGTGTGGGGGAAGGGGCGTCTTTTTGGAGCCCCCAAATAATTTTGTAACATTGATTTGTTGTTGTACAAATGCCATTTTTGGTACAGGGCGTCTTTAGGACCTACTGAACGATATTAGGGTAGGAGCCCCCGGCAGGAATATCATATAAGGGCATGGGGCGTTGCCTGGTAGCCCCCAAATAATTTAGAAGGTAAATTAACATTGATTTGCTGATGTACAAAGCCATTTTTGGTACAGGGCTTCCTTAGGATTTACTGAATTATATTAGGGTAGGAGCCCCCGGCGAGAATATCATATAAGGGTGTGGGGCGGGGGCGTCGCCTCGTAGCCAACAAATAAAACATTGAATTTTTGTTGTACAAACACCATGGGGCCCCCAATAACACATGAATATTTATGCCGGGGGCTCCTACCCTACCATCATTCTGTAGGTCCTAAGGAAGCCCTGTACCAATGAATGGCATTTGTACAACAACAAATCAATGTTATAAAATTAATTTGGGGCTACAAAAAGATGCCCACGCCCCGAAACCCTCGAATTGAAATTTTTGACGAGGGCTCCTAGCCTAATATTGTTTTGTAGGTCCTAAGGAAGCCCTGTACCAAAAACTTAAGTTTAATAGTAAATTATGAAAACATGCAAAGAGCCTGATAAAACTTGACACTTCTGTAAATTGTGGCAAATGTATAGAACACAGAGCACTCACTATCTCTAGGGTAAAAACTGACTTCACTGTATGCATGGTTTCCTATGCATGTCTTCTGGTGTAGCAAGAATTAGTATCTGTTTACCTGTGCTGTTTGGAATTGGAGGTCCATTGAGTAATCCGTCTGACAGGCCACCCAACTTAATCTCTCGTAGTTTGTTTGCCAAAACCTGTCGTTTGTTTGAGTGTGCTTGCTGCTCGACATTCCATTTCATAAACACATCTAGTAACGCATTGGTGTAGTTCTTCAAATTCTCAACCAGGATTGTCTGTAGTTGAGCATAGGAGAAGCCTAGAGATATCCCTACAGCGTTGTAGTAAGATGGAGCGATGTCCTGGGCCAGCTTCAGGAACTCCATTTCACTGACAGTACTGTAAAATGAATAATAAATCAATTGGGTACAAATTAGTTAGAGAGCATCCTATTGGCTGAGAAGCTATCATGTGACACTCAACAATTTGTATTACATAAGTGCTCTAGTATGCAATATACTATTCTGGGGATATCAGAATATAATGCCTGCATGTGATTTTAACATTTGAAACATATATTGCCAAAGTTGCAGGTGAGTGCGGTTTTGTTCTGGCAAAGGTAATTATTCCCCAAAAAGCAGAGTATGTTAGTAAATCCAATAATAATGATAATGACGATGATAATAATAAGAAGAAAAGGATTACTACTACTTGTAAAAATAATGATATTGTTTACATGTACCATCATTACTAGAATTGATGATGATGATGAGGATTATTATCATTATTATTAAAATATCATTATACCTTCGTCATCATAATTATCATCAGCATCCTGAATAATATGTAATCACTAAGTTTGTTTGATAACATGATGATTTTAAGTGTCACATTGACTCATGCATTCACGAAAATGTCTGTGTCCAGTACATGTGACTTTAGCAAGACTGGGCAAAATTATCATTTTGATTGGTTCTTTTGCAACTTCGTAATTTCACTGTAGGTCTCTGTTTCATAAAATTTGTTATCAATCACAAATGCTAAATTTCTATGACAAATCTGCTCTCAGCCAATCAAATGCCACAATTTCAGTAGCTAATAACAATTATTGTAAATTATTATCGATAACAATTATGAAACAGGGCCCAGAACTCAACTGTATTGTTAACCCCTGAAGGAACTACAAGTATGCATACCTTACTGCAGTGTTAGGACCTGGATTGGTTTCAACGTCACCAGATCTCATCAAGAGGATCAGGAGTAGATAGAGGAGGCAGAATTCATCCATGGTGTAAGATGTCCTTCTCACTCGACAGAAGTGTGGTCCTCTGGAAAATGGTGATATGACATGGGCGACAATACTTGAAACAATATTCAGAAATATCTACATTATGTACATAAAACAGTTGGAATGAAGATCCTTGAGCGTTTCAATTTCACTATTATCTATAGGCGAAAATTCTGGGGGATGGGGGTTGGGGAATTTTTTCCCTCCCCTCCCCCCCCCCCCCCCAAGATATGCATATACCGTTTTTGATAAAATGCTCACTGTTAAGGCTTTTATATTGCATATATCCCAGCTGTATGAATCTATATACACATACAAACCAATATATACCGGTAAATCATACTCAGGAGTCATAGGCCCATTCCGAAATTGTATAATTATTATCAATAAACATAAATTGATAAAAGACGACCCCTTCCCAAAAATTGTACATTCTAAAAGTTTGATCTTGGCTGACAAGTTGTAAATTGATTACATCTTATTTGCCCTATAGACGCATACTTAACATATATGCCTTGGTAAATCCAATCCAATCCAAAAGATATTTGTTATAGCGCCTTTTCCCTGCAGTTACAAAGCGCTGCAAAAGTTAGACACTTCTCAGAGATCAGTCAAGTATATGTAGGCTGGTAATAAAGTAATGTCTAGCAGAATTGTCATTCTTATTATGTACTTGTCTCTTGCCATGCTGTATTGTATTTGTGCTTTTTATATGAATGGTCGAATAAATAATAATAATTTTAAAAAAGAATAGATGTGACTTGGGTAGTTTCTTGAACTGGTCAACAACTGAGGCCGTCTGCACAGCAGTAGGTAGCTGGTTCCACAGTTTTGCAGCAACCGATGGGAAACACAATTCACCAGCACGTTTTTATAAATAATTGCTTGACTTAGGCTGCCGCTGTACATATTTCTCGTGTAATTATCTGTATACCATTTACCTTTCTTCACATCGGTGTGTTAAACTGTTTTACATCATGTTTTTAATGAACTCACTATGCATTTCTTGTTTCTGTCCATCCCTTTTCTCAATAATTACATCATGGACAGGCCTTGTCCTTGATTAGTCCTTACCTCACAAGAGATCATGCTTTCCTTTTTTTAATTCTCGCACGTCACAATGACAATTGCCCACGACAGTGACACTGCAGTTTGGGTACTGACTTTGGGTCAGACTTTGAGTCAGCCCAGACACTCTTAAGCCATTTTCTTAATGTATATGTGTAATCAAATTTAGTGCCTTGTTACAAATTACTTCACATTTAAAATAATTGTATTTCATTAGTCAGAATGCAAATTGCATATCCACTCCGTGCTATTGGGTAGGACAAGCTATGTTTTTCCTACCTGGCAACAACTCATGTATGCAATTCGCATTCTGACTATTGAAATTACAATACGAAAATACATCGGGCAGAGCTGAGGATTGAAATGGGTTATAAAAAAATATTGCAAAAAATATTGCAAAATTATTTACTTTACTTGTATCAAAGAGAACTGTTGCTGAGCTAGCGCCATGAGCGTCCCTGGACGGTGTGTGCGCTCTATAAGTTTACACTATTATTATTATTATTATTATATTTTAGCTCCACTGACCCCCACTTAGAGACGTAATTTAAGGCGCTATACAGATGAGACTATTATTATTAATACATTGAGTCTTAACCAATTCATATTAGTGAACCGGTAAAATTGTTAAAAGTAGACGAAAAACCTGCATAATTGTTACTTATTATATTCCTTCTACTGTACTTACCCTCAAACAGGCAAAGAATCCTGACAAAAATTCTCAAACCACATAGATATTTATAGTTTTCTTTGAAGGCGTCACTGTACAACACCCTCTAACATTAAATTCTCCCAACCAATGTTTGAATTTTCCCAACCGTTTTTCCTTCAGTTGTAAATAAGACATAAAACAGGCATTTAGAAATCTTTCAACACTTAAATGTTTGGAATGATATAAAGAGCCCATTAATTGCTTTGTGAGGATTTACATTTACCTAAGATTGAATTAATTTATTATAGTATAGTTGGGAGAATCGGTTCAGGAATTGATCAGATCAGTTTTTCCCCAATTTGTATCATTAATAATGGTCTGTTTTCACTCAAACTTTCAGATTATCTTTAATTATACATCTAGCATCGAATTCACTACATTAGCATCATTTTCTCTCATCTAAATAATGTTATCAAGTCCCTTTAAATTTAAATGTCATAAAGAAGGCGTACGCATACACTGTACAGATACGCCTAGAATGATTTAATAGTATAGGGACTACAGTCCACAGCGTTTCTGTATCAAACAAACATATAGTTACTGAATCTTCTCCATTCTCACACAGCAAACATACCGGTAGTCTGTTGCCGGGGTCTGTTGACTCATGGAAAGCAAAAAGTGCATTAACTCTTTCAGGACACGATTCAGGGCTAAACTGATCACGATTATCACATATTGTTCTTCAAATTGGCATCAATAATATATTTCTTTAATTGCTATGTAAATGATAAGTCTCCGAAAACGATACACACAGGCAAGAATGTTATGGAAAAGTTTTTTAAATGGCCAGTTTTGATCGAAAAACAATAATGTTTAATCTGTGTGTTGCCAATTTAAGAATGTTAATATCCAGAACTCAACCAACACATATTCTGACGTCAGGTGAAACCAGGGACATGCTAGCATGTCCCTGGTGAAACGCTCAATAGAGCTTTTCACAGTTGATTGCTCATTCATTGTCCATGGCATTCACAATAACCCTATTTCACAAGTTCATCTCAAAACAGATCACCGCAACAGAGCAAATACACAGGATTACAATGTACAAACACTATGATACAGTGCGTCCCAGAAAAAACAAAACCGAGAATTATCGATGTTTTATCATAACTTTATTACAATTATAGTTAATAAATGACACATATTTGTAAAGCCGAGATCCTCATCGTTCATTTGATGCAACCCACATGATGCATATTTCACTCATGAGTGATTAAAATCAATTTGAAGAGAGGAAACCAAAATGTAATTTGGCGGGCAGTATCTGAATTTCAAAGAGAAAATCACATTTCTAAAAAGTTCAGTGTCTGCCCTTTCATATGACACCTCAATCAGGAAAAATGAGCAAGGAATAACAAAGTTCTGTTTGTTTAAAGTGATGCCTGCATGTACATAATTTTATTAAACGAATTCGTTTTCACTGGCTGCCTGCCGTCGCAACAAACGGAATTGACAAAAGACTTGACTTTTTTTCTTGTCACAGAATTTACTGTCTTTTGCCCCTTTTACATGTTACATAATAAGGCCTAGTATAAGTTGTGACTATAAAATTAAGAAAAGACGTAAGAGATTATTTTTTATTTTAATGGTAAGTTCGTTGGAGTAGAATAGAGATTTCAGCTCCAGATACTGTCAAAACACGCAAAATAAATGCTCGGTATACATGTACATTATGATACTTTGCGTGTGACTAACCTGAGATTACCATGCAATTTATCACTTAATGTGAAATTATAATTGAATGCAATTAAAATTGTGTCAATATTCCGAGATAGCTATTCTGATCTTTACTTGACCTTTAGTACCTTTACATGACATTAGATTACAAAATAAACACCAGAGAAGTGAGTCCTACTCCCTTCAGAAGCTGGGAATACATCTATCATACATCATCATGGAACATTGGGCTCAATAGTTAATGCGAATTATGCAAATTTCCCAACATTGCCCGAATTTTGAAATTGTTCCCTTACGACATGGGATCACGAATAATCACCATGATCATCAACAGCAACAACAAAAAATCTTTAACCGAAAGACCTTTTTTATGTTCATGAAATGCAAAGTCCACTATCCTACCGGGGATTTCTGGGGAACCACTTTGAACAAAATTATGTTCCATACGATACCAGAGCAAAAAATGCCTTATTCTTGCACATGTATAGACTTAAGAAACTGAAGCATGCTAATGTGGGTATAGTAATAACATTTATTCAATTGTTTATGGTACATGTATTTACTAAGGATTAGGGTTTCTGCAATATATACATGGATTATATGTAACTATATTCCAATGTGCTTATATAGTGGCTATTGCTTTGATCAACATTTAGAGGTAACGAGTTAAAAATGATATAATATACTCACTGTTTGCCTAGATCCTGCTAAATGCGAAATGAATCGTGGAATAAGGCGTCGAGTCCTCTCAGAAATATCTATCCAATCATAGTCGAGCTCAAATGATTTACACAATAATCTGACACAGTTTCAAATAAAAGTAACTGTCAACAAGTTACATGAGAGGTCTCTTCTAAAACGTGTTACAAAGGCGTTTACAATGTCTCTTTCGCAAGAATAGAGGAGAGTTTGTCTCTGGGTCATGAATTCGGTTTGACAGATGCCAAAACATGCAGGGTGTCGACGAAAATAATCTAGAAACTAATCTAATGCAGATTCCCTTTGCACGAATGTGTTTCGTTCCATCAGATGTTCATGTAGAGGTGACGGATAACCCGAACGAAATGATGGACATGAGTCTGTATTTCACCGCCTGGTGACGTGGCATTGAGCAGGTACCTGATTGCAAGTCAGTTGGATCATGTGGTCCAAAAACGAAACCAGAGGAAAATACATAACTAGATCTAGAGCTAACCAACCAAACACAAGAATACATATCTCTTGCTCAGCGAGTCGGTCCTGATGGGCATTGTGCTGCACAAATAATATCACGTGATAAAGTGGCCTGGGCATTTCGCTCAACAAGCGGGAAGCTAATAATAGTCTGTTCCCAGACAGAACAAAAAGTACTTTAAATGACGATTGGGGGGGGGGACTTCAATATAAATCAACTGCCATTGCATCTGAGTACTTTTCCCAATATTCAATCATATAAATCTACTAATACTAGCGAATCTAGACAATTCCAAATCTTCTGTTGCAAATGTAAACATGTTAGTTTGGAGAGGGGTTAAAGGTATGCCAAGCTTTGGTTTCCCGGTCACTATATGATTATGATTTGAATTTTCACTTTTGAGTTTCGTTTCATTATAATATAAACACAAAG